AGAATTTCGACTAGAATGGGGTACGTGAATCAATTTGCTTGGGACCAATAGGCTAGTCAAGTAGTGAGCCAATTTAAAACCGATACTCTCGTTTTGATTGTTGGTACGACCCCTTGAACGTGTACATTCTGACGCGTGTGGTCTTATTTAGCCAGCGACGAAGGACGGATATCGCTACTTACATACATTGATGACTACTCCCACTTTGCGAAGGCATTTCTCTTGAAGAATAAGTCAGAGGTGTTTGGTGTAGATAATCTCATGACTCAAAAAAAGGAGGAACTTATACTTCCGGTAACGTTCGAGCTAGAGGGAGATAACAGCAAGTGCGATGGAAGCAGTAATGAAAGTGATGTTTCGGAGACTTCAAATTTGGAACTCCAGATCGGAAGAAGAAGAATCCTCGAAGCTACCCCTGCGTCCCTTCTCAACAAGAACAGGACGTGAACTCCTGTGAGAAGTCCACGAGGCACAGCGAACGGGAGCGCCGATTCCCGGGTAAGTTTCTTGACTATCTTACCGGTTACGGAGCGAATTCTGTTGGTTCTTCTTCCCTCTCAGATGTTCCTGAAAACTATAGTCAAATCGAAGGTCGTGATGATCGGGAGCTCTGGTATAAGGCGGTACAAGACGAGCTGGAGTTTATGGCCAGAAATGAAGTGTGGAAGCTGATGACCTGTCCCAACGGATGAAAATGGACGGCCCGTTCGACACAAAGCCCGGCCGGTGGTGAAAGCCTTCCTGCAGCGTCTCGGAATCGATTTTGAAGAGAAATATGCTACTGTGGCGAGGCTGCCAACGATACGGTTGGTTCTAGCAGTAGCTGTGCATCAAGGATTCCATATACAACATCAGATGGATGGGAAGACCGCCTTTCTTCATGGCGATCTGAAGGAAGAGCTGTACATGTACCCGATGGAATGAAAAAGGAAGCGAATGCTATCTGCAAGTTATAAAAATCGATATATAGACGTTGTTGGAACGAGCGCCTCAACGACGTATTTTTGAAGTTGGGCCTGACCAGATCAAAGCGGGATTACTGCCTCTACGGGTCAATAAAAAAAATCCGACGAGGTTTATCTGGTGCTGTACGTGGATGATCTCCTTGTTGCCGGAAGAAACTAAAATTGAAATGACTGGCCATGGAATTTGAAATGTCCGACTGCGGTGATGCCAAACTTTTCTTGGGTATGAGACTGGATTAACTTCGGAATTCAGGTGAGCTCAAACTATCCCAGACGGTCAACGTGAGCCGGTTCCGGATGACAGAGTGCAATGCTTCGAATACTTCGATAGAAAATGCACTTCAGCTGAACCATGATGGAAAGAGGACTGCAGAGCCGTATCGGGAATTTATTGGAAGCCTGATTTATCAAATGACAACTGTTAGGTCAGATATGTGCTTCCCAATTGGATACCTGGGAAGATTTTAACTAAACCCTACGGATAACCATTGGCAATCACTCAAACGTATCGTCCGGTAGCTGAAGAAAGCTGAATCATTGGAACTGCTTGTGGGATTTGTCGACTCAAACTGGGCATCGGATTTGGTGGACCGGAAGTCAATCACTACATTTTAAGGTTTTTGGATGTTCTGTACCATGGGCGAGCCGAAAGCAAGCAACGGTATCAACTTCATCTAGTGAGGCAGAATACATCGCATTAAGTGCAGCGGTTTCAGAAGCAATCTGGCTGAGTGGCGCTCTGTAGAAACTGAATATTTGAAGACAACAGAGGCGGCCATTGGGATGGCAAATAATGCTGCATCGAAGCGGGTAAAACACATTGATGTCCGACATCATTTTATTAGAGATCACGTGGCAGCTGAAACCACTGGGATAAAGCCGATTTCCACAATTGACCAAGAAGCTGATTTATTCACCAAAGCGTTAGACAAGAATCGTTTCCCGGATCTTCGAGCAAGAATTTGCCTCATTAATCGAGAGGGGGTGTTGAGAAACGAAGTAATCATTGGATGGAGCCAGCTATCATAGTAGCCTATGAAGATGTTGGAACTATAATTTGATTCGTTTTCTGTTAAACCATCAAGCTGAACAGATTTATTTGATAAACTGTTCTCGTTACTTGAAGTAGAAGCAAAAGAAACCTCAACAGTAACACATTCATTTCCCTTTTTGAGACATTTTATGTTTGGAGAAGCTTTTAATTACATAAAATGACCGAACTTTGCTGGCGACTGTGGACGAGGACTTCCATACAAAATGGTCAACATTGATAAGTTGTTACTTTGTTCTGATACTTGGGGCTATTACGAATGTCACTTCACGGTGAAAACTTGTCACTTGTCGTCACGGTGAAGTGATTCACATTTGATTTGAACGGCAATCACGGCTCTTATTATGAGTATCACTTCCTTATCACCATGTAATAAAACCCGTAATAAGGCCCACTATCAATGAACCTGAGCTTTTAGTGACAGAACTCCAAATAAGTTGAAATTTACGTGTAAGAAATTTAAATTTTCATGTACACCTGTCGAAATGGGAGATAATCGGAGTAGGCCACGCTGCGAAAATGACGTATTTTTGAATTGCTGAGTCGCTTTCATTCTAGTGAAAATGTTAAAAATTGACAATATCGGTTTTAAAAGTGTTAACTGAAAAGTGCATTAAGTGAAAATCATCATGCATCCTGTCCGATGCATGCGACGCTGTCTGTTCTAACGCATAGCAGCTAAGTTTATTTGTCTTTTCTTTCCTATTTCCTCTATAGGAATTATCCATCTAAATTGAGACGATAATTTTTAAAATTACTAAATACGTGTCAATCGTTCGTTTGCTCAATCACCCTTGTAGTGACGTCAAAAAGTTTGTTTCGATCGGCGCTTACATAGAAAATTGATTATAGGATTTGTTGTACCTATGTTACCAAAATTTATGAATTATCTGCCAGTAAATGTTGAAATAATAAATTGATTTTTGAATTAGCACACTGTATACCATGAAAAAGCAGCCTGTTTGTGAGTTTTTGCTTGTTTTCAAGTAAGGAGTTATCATTAAAAAAAAAACAAATCGCCAGCTGGTATTTGCCGGCGACTTTACAAAATAATACAATCAAACAAAATCATCATGCAATACTAGCTAGGATTTGTTTTACAAATTATTTTTCTATAAAAAAGCTGCTAAAATGAATACTTCATCAATTTTCAATAGCTCACTATTGAAAATTACACAAATGTCCAACTGTTGCAATGGTTATCAAAATTTAACCAATTGCCTGCAAAAAGTGGTGATACTGAGCACGTAATCCTACGTAAAATCTACGGTTGAGTCTTGGATACAACCTCTTACTTTTTACATTAAAAGTCTAAGACCCTACCGCCCAAACCTGTTCGATAATAAAAATTAAATTCCCTCAATGTATAATAATATTTTTCAGGGAAAAAGCACATTTTTGAATACATATTTGTTAAGGGTTACCCAACATGTAAATTAATGGGGATCGCTGTTTAGGATGATAATGAATCTTCTTGGAGTCATAGGTGGTAAATGTATATTTTACTGCAGAGATATTACCACTAAATTGTATGGGAGAAACTAATTTCACGAAATGTTTTCCCATAACATCTACCCCGTGAGTACCAAAACTGAAACATGCAGATGAGATACCTATAAAATCTGAAATATTGTTGAAAAATTGATCAGGCATCTGATTTTAGGATAAACTTGTCAATTACGTGATCTTTAGAAAAATATGCACAATTTGTTTTTGTTTTTGCCGATTTTTTTCTAGACTTGATTTTTTTCTAGACGCTGATACAAAAGAGTGATATGCCTAGATGATTCGAGTAAACATAATTATCTCACAGTTTACTGCGATATCAAAACGTGTCATTGAGCACGCAATACAATACTCACAAAACAGGTATTGTCTCGTTTTGAGGTTTTATAAGATTATTACCTGTCGCTAAGGTATTTATAACAACGCAATATTGGAGGCGAACCAGCCCAAGGCTGAAAGCCTCCCTAATAAAGATAAATTAATTAATTAATTAATTAACAACGCAATATGAATTCTTCCGAAACCAATACAATAATACTTAATTCCAAATAATTCCAGTACATTGTAGATATAGTACAAACGGTTTAAAATAATAACATGTTTTTGAGTATACCTTCATACATGTTCACGCCATTTGTTTTTTTTCAAATTTTCTGACACTGACAACTGATGAAAAATTGTACTTTTTATAACTTTTTAAAGTAGGGTTAACTACCCCATTTTCGGCCTATTAAGCACAACCCGCACTTAGTCTTTCTTAATCTAGCGCAGTTTAGCACCAAACATAATGTTATTATTTCTGATGGCTTCCTAATTTATTTACCTTTCCGTATGTACCGTAAGATTTGATAAAGAGAAACCAATCGTTAAGATATTGTCAAAAGTCTAACACTGCTTCTTGACGCTAAACTCGGCCTACGGATTCTAAACTCGGCCTAACGCATTGAAACGCTATTGAAACGCCAATGAATTCACTTCGGCCTATCGGATGAAGATAAAAATTGATTCGGTCGGAGCGCTTCTTTTGTTTTTGGGAATAATGTGTGCAAACTTTCATACCACGCGTTCTCATTGACTTCGTTCGGTAGCTTATTAACTAAAGTATCGTACCAAACGCATAATTGACTTGTTAACTCTGAAATCATGGATTTATTTGAAGTTTTCTGCTCGATAGGCCCAAAATGGGCGATTAGGCCGAAGTAGTTCTCTACCCTATCTATTTCAAATGTTCATTGTCAGCCCACGTTTGTTTTCAACACCGACTCTAAACAAACCAATCTGAAAACTGTGTTGTAGTCTTATACCATGTTTTACTCGAAAATATTTTCTTTTTGTTTAGTCGCTTTATTACATTTTAGGTCATTCGTCATGTCCAGGATGGGATTAAACTCCTGACCATCTTAGATGCTAACCACTACGTGGGGCCTGTCCCATAAAATTTAATTTATTTAATAGAAAATATAACTAGTGCTACTTACCAACTGCAGGACGCATATTGACAACAAGAAATGTCGTCTCGAACAGGATCCCATGTCATAGTTGTTATTCCATCAGTGTGCAATCATGAAAAATTCTTGACACCCTTTCCGCCCAGGATGTCTGATTCAGCCGCACTCACGACTATTGGTTGCGTCGTTCAAAATAAATAAAACAAAATTCTGCTTCTTTGGCGCCGTTGTTGGTTGCGTTTCTTTCGCTAATCCGTACCGTGCTGACACCTAACAATACTACCCCAAGCACATAGCATAAGACAAGCCAACTGCCTTGTAGTGAAAATATTTACGCTCAATGACCTTTGCTTTGTCGTCTTCTTCGTACTCTTTGCTTTAATTCTGCTCAATCGCTATACACCGAGTGATTCACTCTAGATTTAAGCGTGCAACTCTTTTATTTCCCGTCACAGCGACACACTCACGCGCAAAGAGATCAAAAAGTAGATCACCGAATTTTACACATTTTGCAATAAAAACAACGCTACATACACGCACTAGGTGCACACTCTTTTCATCAATGATTAACTTTCTGGTACACTTTTAACCGACATACATCTCCGGCCTGTTGGTCGTTGCTGGTTGAGGTTGAGATTGCACTTTTCTCAAGTGCTCTTTTTCGGCCAACCCATACACGCACGTGTGTTTCTCTAGTGCACTGTACTGACTCAGCAGTGCCTATTCTTCAATCAACTCCACAACTGCTGCTGCTGCTGCGATCGGATTGTGTTGGTATGAGCGCAACCGAAGGTACCTTAAGCTTATTTTTCACGATTGATCTGACCACTACTACAAAGTGACGGTTGAAAATATTAACATTCAACACAAATACAACGTTGGATTAATTTATTATGTAAAATCCTTCGAATAATATTCTGCAACCAACGAACTCAACTCCTCAAATAGACTTGCGTTTCACAGAACAATAGAGATCGCACACCCTGAACGGTGCAAATGAAGAGATTCTCGCGCACACACTTCAAAGTGCTTCCAAAGCACCGTTACCGAGTGCGAAACTGATAGGCCGCTTAAGTGCAACCTGGGCAGAAGAAGAAGCCCGTCAAATCGCGATCACACATGAAACTGCACTCGACGACGTGCAACCAACACTGGGAAAAGCCTTCTTTATCGTACAACAATCAGCATTGCGAAGAAACAAAGCGAATGTGTGGAACCGTTTTGGAGCACAACGTCGTGTAAGCAAGAGCTCCACCAAAGCGAACCGTTTCAGACGATGAACGTAAACTGACTGATTGAATGGAGGCAACCCAAGTCGAGAAACGTTAGCCTGTGTGTTCTCGGTTTTGTTTTGTGTCTTCTCTGCACGTGTGGGGGTGTTCTGCTTTCCAGACATGAAACGAGACTGAAGATTTCCTATCACCCATTCGGAATATAATCCCAACCTTGTGAGATATGGTGACTATTTCTGATTATATCGTTCGTATGGTACCCGTTTGTTAGGGTTTACGAATTTGGCAACTAGTTTGAAAATTAAAATGCAAAGTAAACATATTTCAGTTACCAAACGTTGACACAGAAACATGACAGAAATCATGACAAATTTTATTATTTAATAAACCATTAGATTGAACATCTCAATGCTCCGCAATGGTTCGAGTGTGCGTACAACGGACGCAATGTGAAGAAAATTGATCAAAATAGAAACCGAACAACCACTTGTTGAACCGCCCGGTTGTGGCAGAGCGATAGAGTTTGGTTCAGGGAAAAACAGGGATACCACTATGTAGCGTGGCTGCGGGTGAATGAAATGGCAGGTAAACAGTACGCAACTGCCACCCTTTATGGATGATTCAAACCGTCCAACTTCAGTTCAGTGGATGTGGGGATGTTGATAGGTTGAATGATCACCTATTCGTAACTGAGTTCCAAATGTTATACCACATCTTCTTTCCTTTATTTAACGTCGGTCTCTGTTCCGCAATCTAGTGCCAATCACCGACGGACATCGATTGCCATCCATTGACGGCAATCGAATGTGCAGGAAGGCAGCTTCCACACCTGCTTAGGATATCGCACCCATTCAACACACATGGGCCGGGACCAACGGCTTTACTTCCCTTCCGAAGGAAGACGTGACCAGAGATTTTTATGCCTCAGAAAAATCCCACCGACCTCGGAAGTGTGGAGTGTTATGCCACATACTGGCTGTGATTATACCAACAATCAATACGAAACTAACGATTTTAAATTGGCTCACTACTTGACTAGCCTATTGGTCCCAAGCAAACTATTAACGTACCTCATTATAGTCGAAATTCTAGTACTACGCAATGTTTGTTTTGATTCGCTATGAAAGTTTGACAGATAAAATGAGGGGTTATTGGTTTTTCCCTGAGTACTGCGGAATCACTCAAGGTGCTTGTCACTTGGGAGCCAGTGTGAACTGTCAAGCGGGAGCCAAACATTCAGAAGCAGCAAATGCAGTTACTGTTCTTATCTACCGTCAAGCATTGTAATCTCCTAAAAATGTTCTATACTTTTTCATAACCCATTCTTAATTTTAAGCTCAAAGATAAAAACCAACAGGCTTAGTGATGAAAGTATAAAAACCAGCATAGTTTTTATGAGGCAGCTGAGTTTTCTATTACAGTAAAACATACTTTCGCGAAACATGTATGTAAACAAACTTTGATAGAGTCATGGGGGCTCGAGCACTCCTGGCTCAGAGCTTTTGGCGGGAATCAACGGAGAAAGAGCAAATCAATTTTAAACTTGAGAAAATTTTCAAGCAGTTTTCCATTGGCTTGCAAAATAAAATTGGTCGACTCCGCAGTACCCAGGTTTTTCCTATGTTTCGAGGGGTGAATCGATTAGCTTGGAACCGAAGAGAGTATCAGCAACAATCCATACGAAACTAACGATTTTAAATTGGCTCACTACTTGACTAGCCCATTGGTCCCAAGCAAACGATTAACGTACCCCATTCTAACCGAAATTCTACTAATACACAATGTTTGTTTTGATTCGCTATGAAAGTTTGACAGATAAAATGAGGGGATATTGGATTTTCCTATGTTTCGAGGGGTGAATCGATTAGCTCGGGACCGAAGAGAGTACCAGAGCTGAGCCAAAAAGTTGAGCACGTTATTTCGGGACCTGCTAGTCTTAGACTTACTTCTATATGGTTATACCATCTTGAATAAGATTTTAAATTGCCAAGGTTTTTCTAGTCTTTTTCATTATTTTCGGTTGGGTACGCTGATTTGAAGTGTTATGAACATATTTAGGACGTTTAAAACATAAATAACAAGGAACGAGGCTCGGTAGCATAGTGGCCAGGGTTGCCAATAGCAAATCTGTATTTTTGCTTATAAAAATCTTTTCATCTGTATTTCTTCTTCGAAAAATCTGTATCAATATCTGTATAGTTTTAATATTGCGTATTTCACTCCAGTGTTGGAAGTGCGGTAACGGTCATTAAAGTGCGCTTTTGCATCAAATCGTGTTAGCATGTTTTGCGCCGAATACATGAATAGCGGTAAGCTTCAACTCGGATTTACTTTTATTTATTTTTTCTCTTGGTTTGTTTTTTCCGTCGATCTTGTTTTCCGTGCTGAGCACCAATGCTACCGACGTGCCAGGAAGGCAGCTCCCACACCTGGACCCTACCTATCGACCCATCAACTCATGAACCGGGGACCAACGGCTTTACTTCCCATCCGAAGGAAGGCGTGATCAGAGATGTTATGCCTCAGAACATCCCGGCGGCCTGTTGGGGTGACAGGTAATCACGCTTACCACTACACCACCGGCGCCGTTAAGGATTTACTTTTAATACCGTCCCTGTTTGGAAAATCTACCAAATATTTGCTTAAGGTGAGGTTCTCATTCAAAATGTTCAGTACATCGTTTTATTTTATTATTGCATTTTTTAAAAGGTATAGGGGAATTTACGTATTCTCGGCAACCTAAGCAGCGACCTTCTTTCTATAGCCTTTTTCTCTATGGAACGCACACATATGCAGTATTGGTTTGTTTACAATCTTTTGCTACCAGCTGCTCTAACAATTTCAGTCAAAAGAATTGTCAAAAACTGTTTTGAAACGCTTTTACAAAGCTCCAATCTTCTCTAGTGAGAGCGAGTATTGTCGGCAACCAGTTTTTCTTCGGCAACCGTTCCATTTGAACTGCATGTAAATCTGCTGTTCTATTATTGGCAACTCGAAATCAGCTACAATTTGTAGTGCGTGTGTTTCATTTCAAGAAAACCCTGCTAGATTGCTTTTTCTCAGTGGTAAAAATAAAGTCAAATTGAAGCTGAAAGCATAAAGAATCGTTTGCATGCATTCAGCGAAGTGTTTTCGTAAGAAAATCCAGTGAAAATAGTGTTTCAATTTGGGTTGCCGAAAATAGTCTGTCATGCCGAAGCCGTCATTTCCCCTAAGTGTCTACTATATTGTGTTGAAAGGGTTTTTCGATCCGCGCACAAGAAAAGTTTCTATAGGCCATTGTTCAGAGCGGAGTCCCAGCACTAATATTCGATCGAAACTGTTGCCAAAACTTTGAACGCGCTTATCTCGAAACATGATTTTTCAAAATTGTGTACAATCTCATTTGAAAATGGTTCAATTTAACGACTTCTACCTTTGACCATTCGCAAGAAAACTTTTTTCATTGGAGGAATGACCTATTGTCCATTCCTCTAATAAAATTAGTTCACTTTAAATCCTCATTAATCATGTTGTGTTTCCGATCGATCCTGAGGTACCAGACTGTACGCAGTTTGACAATTCCAGGCGTACACTACCTTACTCAAAACGTGAGCACTAGCACCAGTTTGTTTTTTTCGCCTTGTAAAAATAAATAAAGACGAAGTTCTAAGCTTTATGAATGTAAAAACCGCGTCCTTTTATGTTTTTTCATTGGCCCACAAAAAAATGTCAAACTTTGCTTACTTTTTGGCCATTTGAATGAGAACCTCCCCTTAAGATTGAATTGGTTAATAGCCACGTCGATACCAAGTCAACCCAACATTCGTAATCGGGATTTAAACCGAGGATAATATCAGTTGGTGCATACCACCATAAGACCATTCAAGTATTAGTAATCCAAAAACCAATGTATATGCAATTTGTGACGTAAGTAATTGCATGTACGCAACAATCAGGGACAGGGTAGACCTCCTGTTGATGAGTGGACTCAGTGATCTTATCAAGATGTTGCACTTGGTTTTGGTTTTGTCAACGTGCTCCCTGATAATCAGCTTGCTGTCTAATGTAAGGCCGAGGCAGACTATCTCTTTCTACCATTCCACCACTGAGCCGTTCAGGCAGATCTTATTATTCTTCGACGGAACACGATTGGGATATTTAGAGTGTGGAAAGATGATTACCTGGGTCTTTGCCGCGTTGATACGCATCTTCCAGCTGTTGAAAATTCAGACAGAATGTCTCTCTGAAGTTTGGCAGTCAGAGCTCCGATGACCCTACCCTCGCAGACGATGGATGTGTCATCTGCGAACTGAGACAACGATCCACCATCAGTGAGAGCCGGCATATCGGAGGTGAACAGTGTCGTGACCGGACCGAGGTTTCCAGCCTCGGTCACGGCTACACGAATCTCGGCTGATCTGCTTCCTTCCACTGCTGCTGGTATTTCTGCTGCTGCTGCTGTTCCTGCTGTTGCTGTTTCTGATGCTGCTGCTGTACATCCGTTGCTTTCAACAATCGTCACAAGAATGCTTCAACGAGCTCAACTAGCCCGTATTTATACCCTACTTAATTTCCCCTTCTTTACCCAGTGCTACTAGCTGTGTCGGGATTTCCCCTCATGAAGTAATGGGATTTTGTTCTCACGCTCTCTTTTCTACTATCACCTCTGCCATGTTCCATGCTAACTGGATTCTGCTCATATAGAATGTTTAATTACTTGATTTAATTGTCAAATTGATTTGCCTTCAAATAAAGTTTTCATTTATCATTATTATTCCACATCAACTCTATCTACCACAAACAGGTGGAATAAAATGGGGCCAAGAATGCTCCCTTGTGGAATCCCGGCACCGATGTTGAAAGCATCCGATGTGATGTCATTTAGAGAGACTCGGAACGTCCTGTTCGATAGGTAGTTGTTAATTAGCTTCACTGATAACCAGGTCATCATCCCAGACATTGTCGAAAGCTTTTTCAACGTCTAACATCGCCATGGCAGATGATTTCGAAACAGACTCGTTCCGTCTGAGAATGTTTGTTACTCGAGTCAGCTGGTGGACGG